TGTGTCCCCCCCCCAAACCCTCCTCGAGCCCCAGGGATGGCAGCATCTCCTCCAAGCTGAACAAGCAGAGCAAATATTTTGGTGGCTGCCCCCACCACCGCCCACGTGCCACAGCCACGGGGTCCCCATGGCCCAGCGGGGTCTCCTTGGGGATGCTCTTCCCCCCCTCTCCCCCCCAGTAGGACCCAGTGTCTAACCAGTAAGCAATCATCTGGGGGGCTGGCGAGCAGCGCCAGCCGAGTCCCCTGTGCTTCATCAAGGAGATCCCACTGGCACTGAGCCCCCCAGTGCTTTTCCCCCATCAAAGTAGGGGTGAAAAGCATCCCTCAGTCTATGGGGTGGGTGCTGGGGGGGCAGGATGCACCCCAGACCCACGGACATCAACAAGATCCTACAGATATTGAGTCCCCAGTGCTTTTCTCCCATTGAAATAGGGGTGAAAACCATCACTGAATCTATGGGGTGGGTGCTGGGGGGGCAGGATGCACCCCAGACCCACGGACATCAACAAGATCCTACAGATATTGAGTCCCCAGTGCTTTTCTCCCATTGAAATAGGGGTGAAAACCATCACTGAATCTATGGGGTGGGTGCTGGGGGGGCAGGATGCACCCCAGACCCACGGACATCAACAAGATCCTACAGATATTGAGTCCCCAGTGCTTTTCTCCCATTGAAATAGGGGTGAAAACCATCACTGAATCTATGGGGTGGGTTCTTGGGGGCTGAGATGCACCCCAGACCCACAGGCATCAATGAGATCCTACAGACATTGAGTCCCCAGTGCTTGTCTCCACGTACATCAACGAGATCCTACAGACATTGAACCCCCAGTGCTTTTCTTCCATCAAAATAGGGGTGAAAACCATCACTCAGTCTATGGGGTGGGTGCTGGGGGGGGCAGGATGCACCCCAGACCCACGGACATCAACAAGATCCTGCAGACATTGAACCCCCAGTGCTTTTCTCCCATTAAAATAGGGGTGTAAAACTACCAGCAACTCTATGGGGTGGGTTCTTGGGGGGCGGGATGCACCCCAGACCCACGGACATCAACAAGATCCTACAGATATTGAGCCCCCAGTGCTTTTCTCCTGGACATTGAGTCCCCAGTGCTTGTCTCCACGTACATCAACGAGATCCTACAGACATTGAGCCCCCAGCTCTTTTCTCCCATCAAAATAGGGGTGAAAACCATCACTCAATCTATGGGGTGGGTGCTGGGGGGGCAGGATGCACCCCCAGACCCACGGACATCAACGAGATCCTACAGACATTGAGTCCCCAGTGCTTTTCTCCTCGACATTGAGCCCCCAGAGCTTTTCTCCTGTTGAAATACGGGTGAAAACCATCACTGAATCTATGGGGTGGGTTCTTGGGGGCTGAGATGCACCCCAGACCCACAGGCATCAATGAGATCCTACAGACATTGAGTCCCCAGTGCTTGTCTCCACGTACATCAACGAGATCCTACAGACATTGAACCCCCAGTGCTTTTCTTCCATCAAAATAGGGGTGAAAACCATCACTCAGTCTATGGGGTGGGTGCTGGGGGGGGCAGGATGCACCCCAGACCCACGGACATCAACAAGATCCTGCAGACATTGAACCCCCAGTGCTTTTCTCCCATTAAAATAGGGGTGTAAAACTACCAGCAACTCTATGGGGTGGGTTCTTGGGGGGCGGGATGCACCCCAGACCCACGGACATCAACAAGATCCTACAGATATTGAGCCCCCAGTGCTTTTCTCCTGGACATTGAGTCCCCAGTGCTTGTCTCCACGTACATCAACGAGATCCTACAGACATTGAGCCCCCAGCTCTTTTCTCCCATCAAAATAGGGGTGAAAACCATCACTCAATCTATGGGGTGGGTGCTGGGGGGGCAGGATGCACCCCCAGACCCACGGACATCAACGAGATCCTACAGACATTGAGTCCCCAGTGCTTTTCTCCTCGACATTGAGCCCCCAGAGCTTTTCTCCTGTTGAAATACGGGTGAAAACCATCACTGAATCTATGGGGTGGGTGCTGGGGGGGCAGGATGCACCCCAGACCCATGGGCATCAAGGAGATCCTACAGACATTGAGTCCCCAGTGCTTTTCTCCTGGACATTGAACCCCCAGTGCTTTTCTCCCATCAAAATAGGGGTGAAAACCATCACTGAATCTATGGGGTGGGTGCGGGGGGGGGCAGGATGCACCCCAGACCCACGGACATC